TGTTGTTGAGGTTGCGTCTCGCTAGATTGTCGGCGATCTGAGCGAGTGACTGGAGATTGCAACGTACAATGGTGTCCACGAACACGCAGGTGTCTTCTTTTGTGTTGCCCGGTGGCACGTCCACCACGTACGACTCGATCACCACCGTTCCGTTACCGGCAGGTGAAGGATGGAGCGTTGTAACGGACTTGTAATTCGCGAGTCTGTGGTCACCGCCCACCACGCTGAAGCTGATGACGTGGCGCTCGTCGTCTAGGATCTCGAGACGCTCGGTGCTGTTAGCGGCTGGGAGTCCGGAGATGACGTGCACCTCACGTAGAGTACCGACGTCGCCGTCGCCGTTGATGACGTGGCAGCTCTTGACGAAGTGTTTGTAAGCTTGTGGGTTATCGAAGCGGCGAACCACTGACCAGACGGTGGAGACAGGAGCAGCGATCAGCTGGACGACGGAGGAGCAGCACTGGTTGGGACCCACGGCGTGGACGTGGTAACGTGCGATGGTGTCGGGCACGGGGGTGGCAGACGTTAAAGGAAAGCGCTTTTGGAAGCCTTTCTGGCAAAGTCTGTTAGCTGTGGTGGCGGTGGTGGTGGCCGTGTTGTTGATTCTCTGGAGTAAAATAGAGGATTTAGGAGGATTTGAAGGCATTTTTTGAGAGATCATTCGGTTTAGTTGAGTAAGTCTGCAGGGTTTGTGAAAGAGTATATAATTTGATGTTTGTTCGTATAAAGAATCAAGAGGTTTAAAAGTACGAAGGGAGAGAGAAAGGAGGAGAAGGAGAAGTTGGGGTCAGTCACTTTCAGAAAGTCACACAGAAGAATCCATGGGGGTGTGTAATCACATATATAGAGGAAGAAAGAGATTGGAGGTGGAAGGTTTTATGATAGTTCATGTGGGTGTATTAAAATAGGGCCTTGTTGCTCCTATTCAAGTTACCATATTAACCCTTTTCTTAATGACTAATTTACCCCCTTTGATTATCCTACTAAATCTTTGTTTTTTAGCCCACTAATTGCTTCATATATTCATACAATCAAATCAATTGATTCTCTTGACTTTGATTCAATGTTAATACAATAATTCTTTCCTCCTACAAATCTATTATTTCCTTTAAAATTTCTTCCTAAAAGTACTCTTTACAAGGGGTAATTAAAACTAAAATATTGTCTTTTAATATTTCATTAGAGGGGTAGTTTTATTTAAAAAAATAATATTTACCTCTAATATTTTATATCTTTTTCTACTTCATAAACCCTAATTTTATATTGAAATAATTAAGATGAAATGGGTTTGGTCAGTATGCATTAAACTATTCATGTCTATTTTATCATATTTATTGTTTCTAACTTTCTATTAATTTACACGTTTACAAAATTTATAAGTTTGTTATTCTTTAAAAAAAAAAAAAAAAAAACATATGTGACAATGTGCGTAACTACTTATATGCTTGATTAATATATTAAATGGATATTTAAAAAAAAAAAGGAGAAGAATATATATATAAAAAAATGATTGAGAAAGTATAACATGAGTAGTCAAAATATAATCGTAAGAGTTATATTGTATTGATGGAATTTATTTAGACATTTAGTTGTGTTTAAATTTTTTAATGAAATTTATTAAGAAAATTATGGGGTGCACAGATAGTTTACGCGCAATTCAACTTTCGAAGGGAGACCACAACCCTCGACTTAAATCGCGAATGCTCAGATAGAAAATCGAACCTAACTGTGCAACATATCCCCAATTTGTCCTAATCATCTGAATTACCTATGGATGGATGAAATCAAAGTAAATTGATATTAAGAAAATATTTTTTTCTTTTGCTGTTTTGCTATTGTATACATAATTCAAAACTGGACTTTCGGTTCACTCCTAATTACTCAAATACTAGTATAATCTATCTCCTTTCCTTCACCAAAAAAAAAATAAAAAAAAAATTGGTGGAATTAAATATGATTTATAATTACAGTGGAGTCTACTATATAAGATAATTAATTAGTTGGCAACCGGTGGAAGAAGATGAGTATGAGTGGCCAAAATTGAGGTAGCTTAATAGGGTTAAATTAGGGTGAATTTTCCATGACCACACAGATTGATTCAAATTGACAAAGGTTTCACCTTGCCTCCGGTAAGTGGAGCAGGAGTATTAAATCGATTGAACCGTAATTATTAGAATAGCTTTAAATTGTCTTTACTGCTGCATATTTTTACATTGATTTTCGTAATATAAATGTCTTCAACCCAGAATATTAAATATTATAAACCAGATTTTAAGTCAATGAAGAAGCAAGTTGGTAAATGCAAATGGCTATCTGAAGCTTCTGTCAAATTTATACTGAACAAACGGAGCTCTCTCTCTCTCTTTCTCTCAACTTGGAGGAGAGAGTCTTATGCGGAAGGATAAGATAAACCATTCTTTCAATCAGAAACTGACCCAGTTACAGACTGCAAACATATATATTTTATTAAGCAATCGTTTACCCTTCCATGCCCTCCAAAACAAGTTGTATATATATATATATATATATATATATATTGTTCATTACTTTGGCTGCTTTAACGTGATTCTTTGCTTTTATCTGGTCTAAGCAGCAGTTGGAGCCAAAACCTGGACACCCCATTTGATTTTTTTTTTTTTAGTTATTTATATATTTCATGTAATTCTGTAAAATTGAACAAGTTGGGAGACTTTAGCACATGATTCTCAGGAACAATTCAGCTGGCGATTGCGAATTTGGGACCCATTTTTATCTGTGATTATTAGTACAATTGATTAGACATTAATCACCCATTATTATGATGATGATTTCCCTAATCCCTATATCAAAACTTGTACCTTCTTGTAATTTATCTTGTTTTTCCATTTTTGATGTATATATATATATATGTCACCGGCTTCCTTCTTGACATTTAAATTAAGACTAGTTCAATGTATTATCAATAGTAATATTCAAATTAATTCTAAGTACATGAATATGAATATTTATGTATATCCTTTGATGTACCCACAGCATGCCTTTGGCTGGCTTGATATGGATTCAATTGTATTTTCTATAATCAACTTGTGGGAGAGTGTGGTGTACTCTCATCTTATAAGAAATGGACATCTTCAAATCGAATCAATTACCCGAAAAGAACATAATAGAACAAATTAATATTTATATTTCTAGTTGCAGCATATAAAAAATGATGCTTGCAAAATTCAATCAAAGGATGGGATGATCTGAATCTCATGCTCAAAACTTTTAACTTGACCTAAACGCAGTCGAGTTCAGTTAAGTTTAGCCAGCTTGAACGTTTAGACCCAGTGTATTGTATCCATCAGCAGCACAAGAATGCATGCACGATAAATAATAGAAAAAACAAACCTTCTGTGGAAGACGCAATTTGATGACGAGCTGCCATATTTATGCATGGCTCTTTAATCCTTCTGTGGACTCCATGCTTACAGAAGTATTTTTATTTTATTTTTTCTGGGTAAAGAGAAAGGTTATTACAATGGACTTCGAAGACTGGGATATGGTCTGTTGGATCTCTGAAACTCGTATCAGAAGTGGGCTGTAAATCATAAAGAGTGTGATGCAAGCATGTGATCAATTATGGTGATGACTAGAGACTGTGAATCTGAGTTGAGTTTGATGATGTTGATTATTTCTTATTTTAATAGGGAGAACGACATTTTCCCACCCAAGGTTTGGGGGAGCCACACTTTCCCACCCTTTAAGTTTCAAAATGACACTTTCTCACCCTTTTCTAGATTCTGTTATATTTTTCGTTAATATTTTACTGAAAAAACAAAAATACCCTTAAATATTTGACTTTATAAATTTTTATTAGCCAAAAAATAAATATTAAAAAGTAAAAAAAAAAATTCTGCTAGCCCCACATAAGAAGTTAAAAATAATGATATAGACTCGTTTAAAGTTAAATAATTATAATATCATCAATATCTCATCACTTTATTCAATAATCTATTAAATTTATAATATTTTTTATTTTTAATAATTAACATAGAATATCAATATTTTTAATTAATTAAATAAACAAAAGAAAAAAAAATATTTTTACACTTAAACTAATAAATAAACGAGTAAAGACATTAACTTAACTAAATTTTAATTTATAATAAACTAATTAAGAAATAAATTTTTAAATTTTTTTTTTTGTTTTTTCAATCAAATATTAATAAAAGAAAATGTCATTTTAAACTTGGCAAATAGGAAGCGTTGCTTCGTCAAACCTTGGTGGGATAACGTCGTTCTCCTATTTTAATATTAATTAATTCATTTCTACGTACGTTAGATGTATGGGCAAAATATTGTGTACTTTTGGGTGGAGGAAAGGACATTTCGTATATACTTTCAAATCAAATCCTCAGTTTTAGGTATCTCAATAGTCACCCTATTTAATTGTTTTAATTAGCGAATAATGAAGTTAATTTATGCATGATTTTTAACATAGTATTTTGAAAAGAAAAAAAAAGTAAAATTGATTTACCTTTAGGAAAAAAAATAATTATTAATATTTTATAAATTAAATAAAGTAAAATTAAATTTTAAAAATATTGAAACAAATACATTTTTAAGTTTTTAAGATAAAATAGTAGAATATGATAGGATAATAATAGTGAACCAAATGGGTCGTTGTCTTTGGAAATGATCAAGGGTCACTTGTGTTAATTATAAAAGTTTTATTTGATTCTTTTTCTATAGCACCCTTGAAAGAGATGAGCTTCATAATTAAATAGCTAATTTTAATTTCATTCTATTAGTTAAGTTCATAACAAAGGAATTTCAATTATCTCCTTATCGACAGTCGACTGTGAATCAAACAGAATCTCTTGGTGCGATTCCAGCCAATTATACTTTTTTTTTTTTTCAGTTTTTTATTCTTTTTTAAATTTATTAACTTTAAAATTAAAATAAACCAAACTAGGGGTGAAAAATACGTTTAATAAAGTTTGGGTGGGAAAATGTTATTCAACCTCATTAAAAATTATAAAAGGCATTATTATTTTTTCGTAGCTTTACCCTATCAGCTAACATATTCCATCGACAGAGATTGACAATGAGTGGGAAATTTCTTTTCTCAAAGTTTATGGGTGCAAAATGTTATTACAGTAAACCTTGGCTGGAAAATGCCAGCCGCACCTATAATTAAATCGATAGAAATGGGCGAGGCCGGGGTTGAGGATACTTGAGCGGGGCGAGGCCGGTGCTGAGGATACTTGAGCAATGGAAAATGTAATTAGTGTTGGGAGTGTAGAAAAAGTGGGTATATATACGAAGGGTATTTCTATAATTATTTAAATATATCAAGAACAGGTAATTTACTAGACTTGAGGTGAGGAGATCTCAATCCATAAATTTTTTTTAGAGTTGGTTAAAATAAAAATTAATTATAAATTAATATTTTTGTTCATTAATATAGGCCAAAATATAGAAATTGTAAATATATTTTTTAGCCCTGATTTTTCTAGGAATTCCTGCCTCATACGGGGCGGGACAGGGAACACGCCCGTCTCTATAAATAGACGGTTTAACTACATTCCATTCATTAAGTTTATAACAAATAAATTATCTCCTTATCGAGTTCAGTTTTTTAAATAAAATTTTGAATACGGGTTATAATCTAATTTCGCCTTCCGAGCTAAAATCTTAAAACAATTTTTACAGAAGTATAATTACGCTAAAATTAAAATAAATAACACGTAATACCACTAAAATCTACAGAATTACACTCCTAATCAACTGTCACGGTCTGTCTTTGAAATTATTAAATCTTTAATCAAGCCCTGTTTGGTGGGTGAGGTGAGGCCAAGTACTATAATAGCTGGAGGATTATCCGCTACGTGTGGACATATCAATGGTCACAATAATAACAGCTGTCTGAGTAACTACACACGAGATTTCCTCAATGACTGCAGAATTTTCAGGTGATAAGTTCAGGGAAAATTCGCCCAAAAGAAATAATCTCTCTCCGTCTCTCTCTCTGTCTTTTAACTTTCTAGAGAAAAAATTGTTTCTTGATTGAGATTGAGAGAGAGATTAGAAATAAGTAGTCGTGATGGATCAGATTATGAACAAGGTGGGCTCGTATTGGATCGGCCAAAGAGCCAACAAGGAGCTCAATTCAGTTGGTAGTGATATCAGCGTACGTACTTTTTAATCTTGGAATTTTAATCCTTTTATCGTTATTTACATGCCAATTTTGATNAATCGATAGAAATGGGCGAGGCCGGGGTTGAGGATACTTGAGCGGGGCGAGGCCGGTGCTGAGGATACTTGAGCAATGGAAAATGTAATTAGTGTTGGGAGTGTAGAAAAAGTGGGTATATATACGAAGGGTATTTCTATAATTATTTAAATATATCAAGAACAGGTAATTTACTAGACTTGAGGTGAGGAGATCTCAATCCATAAATTTTTTTTAGAGTTGGTTAAAATAAAAATTAATTATAAATTAATATTTTTGTTCATTAATATAGGCCAAAATATAGAAATTGTAAATATATTTTTTAGCCCTGATTTTTCTAGGAATTCCTGCCTCATACGGGGCGGGACAGGGAACACGCCCGTCTCTATAAATAGACGGTTTAACTACATTCCATTCATTAAGTTTATAACAAATAAATTATCTCCTTATCGAGTTCAGTTTTTTAAATAAAATTTTGAATACGGGTTATAATCTAATTTCGCCTTCCGAGCTAAAATCTTAAAACAATTTTTACAGAAGTATAATTACGCTAAAATTAAAATAAATAACACGTAATACCACTAAAATCTACAGAATTACACTCCTAATCAACTGTCACGGTCTGTCTTTGAAATTATTAAATCTTTAATCAAGCCCTGTTTGGTGGGTGAGGTGAGGCCAAGTACTATAATAGCTGGAGGATTATCCGCTACGTGTGGACATATCATTGGTCACAATAATAACAGCTGTCTGAGTAACCACACACAAGATTTCCTCAATGACTGCAGAATTTTCAGGTAATAAGTTCAGGGAAAATTCGCACAAAAGAAATAATTTCTCTCTGTCTCTCTCTCTGTCTTTAACTTTCTAGAGAAAAAATTGTTTCTTGATTGAGATTGAGAGAGAGATTAGAAATAAGTAGTCGTGATGGATCAGATTATGAACAAGGTGGGCTCGTATTGGATCGGCCAAAGAGCCAACAAGGAGCTCAATTCAGTTGGTAGTGATATCAGCGTACGTACTTTTTAATCTTGGAATTTTAATCCTTTTATCGTTATTTACATGCCAATTTTGATTCCTATGTCGATCCAGTCATAAAGTTTGTTTTTCTTTACATTATAATTGTGATTTGAATTTAGGTTATTGTGGTGTTGTTATGGAAATTTTTTTTTATGAACGTGGGTATTGATTAATTTGTATTAATTAGTGGATTTGGTTACAAATAATATGATAATTAACTGTCTTGAAACGGGGATGATGAGTTAGCGTCTCTTTAGAAGCAAAATGTGATGTGGCCTTAAAGGATTAGATACTTTAATTGCAATGGGGAATTAAAGGGTTGTTTTGGTTTTGAAATTTGAATTACTCCCATTACCATGTTTGGAATGTGACCCAGTAGCTGTTGGTCGCTGAGTAATGTGAAGCTTAACTTAAATGGCTGTGAAATATGGATCTTGTTTTGTAGATAAAAAGAAGTTGGCATTTTTCTGTGGCAATGTGCCCATGTTTATTCTAGATGATTGAAGTTATATGTGATGAGTTAGTATGTTCTTTTGTGGATGTTTATAAGAAACTAAGATGACAGAATAGGAAGATAAATTACTTGGAGAAAATAAAATCACATGAATTAGGGCACCAACTCTTTGGTTTGGTGCTTTGGCCCCCCTTTTTAACAAATTTATTCTTATTTATTAAAAATAGTTTGACGGACGGTAGGAAGAGGAAGAAATATAGACTCCCATCGATGTAGTTTCAACTTGAGGGTTTTTTTTTTCTTGCTTATGCACATGAAACACACACGCACACGCACGCATAGTTCAGTAACTAAGGAAGCATGAATGGTAACTCACAAATGATGGATTTGAATAGATCTCTGAGCCTTCTAACTTCTTCTTTTTTTTGTTTTTTTTGGTGAATTGGCTTTTTCATTAACAATCGGTTAGTTGTGTTTTATAAAATTTAGTTTTTTCTTGCTGTATAGAGTGTAGATGCAATGCAATCTAGAAAAAATTATAGATTACTGATACTTGTGTCATCTTGTTTAGTTTTTGTTTATGACTCTTATGTTTCTTTTCTCTTTTTTTTTTTCTCTGTGATTAGTCACTGGGAAGCAGCATTGAAGGTGGAACGAAATGGTTGGTTAATAAAATTAAAGGTCAGTCCTAACTCTTTATGCCAATTATCCAAATAATTGTTGCTCTGCAATAGATACAATCCTAGCAGGTATAGTGGAAGTTTTTTTGAAGTTTTTGAGATTGGTGATTAGTTATCCGATGGTCTCTATTAGGCTTCATTTTCAAGGATCTAATCAACTGATATAAGAAATATACTGGAGTTTAATTTGCTGGTTTTCCTGAAATACTTTTTGGGGGTTGGGGGAGAAAAGTGATCAGGGTTTGTGATAATTATTGAGTGAATGTTTGTCAAAAAGCTCTATAGGGTATTTTAGTATCAGACAACCTTAATAGAGATTAACATTAGAAGATTTCGCATAACACCCTTAGTATGAACTATTTTCTTCCAAGAGCAGGCTTGATGTGATTTGCACTCACTTGGCTTGGGTTTAGAAGGTGGCAATGGGCAAAATATCTGGAGAGTTGCCACTGTTGCTTTTGGAATAACCTGTCTTACTTCTCTACTGAAAGAAGATTGAAGTCCCCCAGAGACATGCTATTGAGAGAAAGAAATAAGACTTGAGCTTCAGGCTGGAGAAAGTTGTATAGGGTTGATTTTGTTTGGTATTCAAAATGATATTTGTGTGGGCAGATTTTTTGTATTTACTTTCAGATCTCAGTTCCTTCATCATTATCTTTTCTTTGAACTGGTTTTTTCCTTGGATCTTCTAATCCAGTCATTCCCATTTTAACTCCTAGTATGTCTTTTTTGTTGATTGTTTCTTTCATTAAAGTATGAATATTACTAAGTTACTCCTGGCCGAACAGGAAAAATGCAAAAGCCGTTGCCTGACCTGCTAAAGGAGTATGATTTGCCAGTTGGAATTTTCCCCAGAGATGCCACCAATTACGAGTTCAATGAAGAGACACAAAAGCTTACTGTCTTTATCCCAGCAATTTGTGAAGTTGGTTACAAGGACTCGTCTATCTTGCGTTTTAATACCACTGTTACTGGATATCTGGAGAAAGGGAAGTTCGCAGATATAGAGGGGATGAAGACAAAGTTTGTTCTTTGGATGAAAGTGACCTCCATCGCATCTGAGGGATCAAAGCTCCATTTTATGGTCGGGATGAAGAAAAGCAGGAGTAGGGCAGCTTACGAGGTTCACAGAGATGGAGTAAGCGTAGATAAGTTCTGATATCGTTTTAATGCTTTTGACGCAAGTATTGTAATTGTTATGAGCTGTAACTCCTTTGTCAATACCTTATGGAACCATACGTGCTAGCCTATGTGATTGGTTTCAGTAAGTACACAGACCGGTTTATCAAATCTTAACTGTTTCCTGTTGATTTTTACTATTAGTTGGGATGAAGTGATTTGTCTCTTCTGTTTCCATCTGCCCTGCCAACATGTTTCATGACCATGCTCTGGGACAGGTCTTATGGAAAAGCAAAATTCTGAATGAAACAGGTAGAATTGTGGGCAGCAATTAATTGTGGTTTGACAAAACCTGTACTCGAAATATCATGCCCATATAATGCTCAAATGTTGTCTATAAATGAGAAGAGAAGTGGGTCACAGATCAAGAAAATAATATCGTATTTATTTGGGCCCTGTATTTTCTAAAATTAAAAAAAATGGCGATGCACCAGCCGGGAATCGAACCCGGGTCTGTACCGTGGCAGGGTACTATTCTACCACTAGACCACTGGTGCTTGGTGATGCGTCTGTGACATGGAATATTATTTCTTTCTTAGAAAATATCAATATTTTTTTTAACAGTCAGAAGTGCTTCTGTAGTTCTGTAATCGACACTCAGTTTCTTGTTAATCAACCACTAATAAGGGATGCACCAATACATAAATACATACTGACCGTTGAATTTGACAATTATTTAAAGAGTTTGGATTTCTTTGATAATTTATTTCTATTTATGGATTGAGTAACCAAACATTACTCGATCGATCTGAGCAAATAAACTGGACGATATACAGAGAAATGCAACACTCCATTTGAGCTAACCACCGCCCTTTCATTAATTAAATATGAATGAGCTGAAGGCAGGTTAGGGAGAATGATGCTCATGTGTTATTTGTAGCTTAGCAATCTTAGTTAGCACTATCATTGAGTCTTTGAAAGAAGGACTTTGATGCTTCATATGTAGACCAGCAAATGGCAGCAGCCGGAGCGTGGAAGAGCATCCTTGGAATCCATCCCCTCATCAGCCCACGATATCCATCCTTCCTCACTATTGTGTCAATTACATTTCCAATTGAACCGCTTGAAAACCTATCACAACCGCACACACCCTGTATATCCAAAACACAAACCTTCAGATTAGCAACACAACACACACACACAGTCTGTACAGTTTTTTCTCATAGCTTTCAATTTTCAAAATTTGATGAGTTTACTGACTCATATTCACCACAAGCTTGTTTTTTTCACAGTTAAAATGTCCATTCCAATGCCCAGTATAAGTCTTTTGCATATCTCTTCATTATATCAAAACCAAATCAGTTATGGTGTCTCACGTGAAACGGCTAAGCAGTGGAGCATTGAAAAGCTAAAATTGATATGCTTCAAAACAAAAAAGTTAGAAGCAAATCTTAAAAGATATGTCACGTCACCTGGCACTGCAACTGAGTTTTAACAACATCTAGTGGTGTTGTCACAACAGCCGCTAGAGCCCCAGCCACCGCACCAGCGGTGGCGTGAACTACTAAACTCTCATTACTCACACTCTCCGGGTCCAACTCCATCAACCCTCTCTTTGCAGCCTCATAAGTCGCGAAATGAACAGCCGTAAACGGTGCGTTCATTAATACCGTAGTCCGATACGACGCATAGAAAGCTCCAATCCCTTCTTCCACCAACACTTTTTTCACACAGTCGGCGACTCCCTTGTACGGACTACTCTTCAACTGCAACCTCTGCTTCACCACATCCATCGGCGTAATCACCGCATCACTTGCAACGGTTGCGCAAACACCCGAAACTGCATGAGCCACGGAATTATTCGGGTCTCCACGGGAGAAGTACTCTTTACAGAGCTCATACACTGAGAAGTACACTGCATGTGCTGGTCCTGCGCCGAGGCCCATGGCTCCAATTCCACGGTATAGACCCGCAAGGCCCTCAAGCTTCAGTATCGAGTTAAAGGCTTGACGCACGCCGATGGGCTGAACCGGGCAGGAGGCCCCGAGGACTTGCATGCGGGTCTTGAGAGTGTCAACTGGGAACATAGCCATGTGTTCAACGGAGCCCGCGATGGACCCGGCAATCATAAACTGCCAGAACTCGAGGCCGTCATGCTGTAATGTTGTTGGGGTAGAGGGAGTTACCGGGTGGAAATCGGGGGTCCGATATTTCGGAGAGGCGTCAGTGGCCATAGTGATGCAATGGAAAATGCCGAGTTGTTAGCGTTTTATTAAGGTTTTAAAAGGAGGGAGAGTGGAGGATTGGTGATTAGAGAACGCTTTCGGATTCAACAGAGACGGTTTGTCACCATGCACTGAATTATATGGGAATAGAATTTTACTTTACTAGAGGATATATATGAATATCAATAACAATGGACAGAGCTTTCTCTACCGTTAGGTTTGATTCGTTTCCATTTTGCAGGAAAAAACAATTATAAGAAGTGTTATTCCAAAAAAGTGAGGATTGACCTAGGCTTATGCCACTAAGCACCAATTAAAGTTTATAAAGGCTTTGTGTCTTCTAGGAGTTGCCAGGACCGTCCCAAGATAAGAAGAATATGATTGTCACCAAATTGGCAAATTCAGATTTTATTTATGAGTGAATGAGGATTGCACACCTGTCAAAGCCTTAGGTAATTTGAGGATGTTTTCTAAGTTATCAGTTAATGGGACGGAAGGAAAGACTTGCACGGTAGTTTGAAACCTTATTTTGATTATAATCTTTATTTTTAGAGCAAAAATAACCTGCAAAAAAGAGATTGACTTGAGATTCTATCTGAATACTCAGTTATTATACCTCTACTCACTGTTCGCTATATACGATCTCTTGTAATATCTCATATATTTATTATTCAGTCTTTATATTAGATTATCTCAATCATTCACGTGTAATTTTTAAGAGTAGTTTAACACTTTGGTCAAAATCAAACATCAACCATAAGTACTTTATTATAACAAAAAACCAATCAAAATATATTTTAATTATATCATCTAGAAATAAGAAATAAAAACACAGGGTAGAGGGAGGCCGTGTGCTATCCACAAGCCATGCAAATATATGAAAGAAATGACGGCATAAAAGTTTAATAAAGAGGTCCATCAAAGGTCGCAATTAAAGGCTTTCAATTCAAGAAAAAAGCAGAAGATCAGATGGAGGATTATGTGTGGCCATATATGTAGAAGCGCATGGTGTCCACAAGCCCTTATGCATGCAATAGTATCTTTCATGAAAAGGAAGCACCAATTTTGTCTTGGCACAAGGGAGGTTACTCACCGTAGCCAAGTAATCCAGCTCCAGCTGCCTCTTTCGTAAAGTCAAATTTAATATGCTCTTGGTCTTAGCGATGATTAGATTCTTTGCATATGCAGATTGGTCTGTCCATCTGCAAACTGATAAGAAGTCCTTTCCTTTTCCAGTATCAGTATTAATCAACATATTCTTCTTCTTTAATTATGCTCAGAATGGCTATATATTTTCATAGAAATTTTGTATGAGCAAAAGGGTTTCTTCTATCATTCATACACATGAGATCATTGGTGGGTTATCTTTGAGGTATTGGTTAGATGGTGAGGGGCTTGGGAGTGGTCTGAGCCTTCCTCTATTGGGACTGGTCTAGGCCCTCTTCTAGGTTAGATGGTGAGGGGCTTGTGAGTGGGCTAGGCCATCCTCTAGCAGATCTACACAAATAATAAGTGCGTATTGTTCACTTTACACCCTAAAAATTGCACTGTTTTTCTTTAAAAAAAAAAATCTTTGGGTGGTGAAGATGTTCTTATCAAGGACGTAGCTAGGATTCTGAGTTAGTAAATTCAAAACATTAATGTTGATAAATTTACAATAAAATATATGTTGAATTAATAAACATAAAAAATGTACTTTTAAAATTTATATATACCAAATTATCAATTTTACAATTATCCTCGACAGTTTTTGGTATTATGAAAATGTTGCATAATTGCTTCATTAACAATTCCATCAAATATCTCTTTATCAATATATGTAATAAGACAATCATTTACCAATTGATCTCCCATCCGATTCCGTTGTCGATTTTTCACAATCTTCATCACAGAAAAATCTTTTTTCAATACTTGCAGTTGCAATATATAATATCAATGCTAATTTTATTTCTAAAAAGATAACAATACAAACAGAAATACCCTCATTTTCTACACTATACTCCAACCAATTTGTATATTCTCTAAACCAAATGGGATTAAAATAATAACGCATTAAATTCTTATTTGCTCGCTTTTTAAAATTATGATTGTATGGTTGGCAAGATCATTTTTTCAAGTATGCCTTTCCTACTTTGTTTTTATCATTATGATGATATTATAAAATTTTAATCTTCAATCCAGGATCTACAGGAAGACTATTGAAGTCAAACTTAACATATGTTTGTCTTGAACTAAATTTCATAGGCTCATTATGAGCATTATCGTAACGTCTTATGTTTTGTTCAATTGATGATTCCTCGTTAAAAAACTTGTCCATAACAAAAAAAATAATAATAATAAAAGAGTTTTTGTTATCAGAAATATAATTTATTTGCAATTACTATTAAAAAACAATACAAATTTATCAAAATTCAACTCATAAATTAGGTTTTTCAAACAATTTCTACTAACCCAATAAAATTCAACTCATAAACCCATAAAAACTCATTAAATCTAACTCTAAATATCAAACAACTAACCAATATATCGAAATTAAACCAAATCTCCAAATCTCTACAACTTAGGGTTTCATCAATTCTTTAAACTATATTCAAAATTTACTCAATAACTAACCACAACTTATCAAACCCAACTTAAAACAACAATTAATTATACCTCAACATAAACAAGATTAAATCAAAACCCACATCAAAATCTAAGAATTATTTCAAACTTATTTATTAAACTCAATAAAAACTTATAACTCATATCTTTCATCAATTAAGAAAGTTAAAAAAAAAAAAATTAATTTTAAGTAAGAAAATAAAAATAAAATTAGTATCATTTTACTTGTAATCTAAAGGAGTAGTCTTTTTTTAATATCCAACCAAAGAAAAAAATATAATATGCAAGCAAAAGAGATGAAATAAAGAAAAGAAAAAAATTTAAAAAATATTAATCCATAATTTCTTTTATGGGGTTAATATAAAATTCAGTAGGATTAAAATTATAAAATTTATAAACTATTAATGCTTTTTTAAAATTTAAAAAGTTTCAATAGATTCTATTGAACCCATAAACCACTATGTGCTATATGTCTGATTTTTATGTTATATAAGAGTAATGCTATGCTTACTCACTATCTTATTAACCATCTTATTATCCTATATAATTATAATGCATAATATGGATACTATATATATAATATCCGTACTGTACCAATATATTTACTAAGATAATAAGATTATTAGTAAGATTGTAAGTAAGTGTAGTTTTATTGGTTATATAAACTACCAAAGCCCTGTTCTTCTAACCTATATGGATTTTGGCACCAACAAATATTAATAATTACATCAACCTTTTGTCATCATATTATTCATTTTTGCTTTTTTACTTTGCTGTTCGTTGAATATTTCATCTGCTTTGTTACTTGCGAGCTGTTGTCCCTCATCCTACTGCGATATTTTAGAAGTACTTATTGCTTATTGACAATTAAAAAAAATACTGTCACCTTTGGCAGAAAGTTCACTCGACTAGATGATTCAGCCGTCTTTATTGACCCCTCTACTGAATGCCATCTGCCTAAGTGAATAATTGTGACTGTGGTAAGTGTTTTTATGTGAATTTTCATGCCAAAAACATGTATTAGAATAATTAAAATCACTTACAAAAACATGACCCTCAGAAAATGGGTACGTATAAATACTCTTGATGGTCAATGAATTTCAGTTGGACTGTATTAGAATAATTAAAATAATGTTATTATTTAACCAACGTGACAAAATCATGGAGATTATCTGAGTCCCGGTTGGCATTATTCCAAGAATCTTCATCGTAAGAGTTAAAACATCCCATCATTTGAATAAAATCTATCAAAATTTGTGAAATTGATATGTCTAAACAGAGTTGGAGTAATGAATTGCCATTTCGTGTATTTGTGAAAATCGTATTCCTGTATTTGTTAAAGTTTACGCTCTTGGGAAGAATATGGTTGAGAGTTTGGATACAACCATGGTGGATAATCATGAATTTCTGAAGTGTTTAGGGTGGATGATAACTATTTAAGTGTACTAAGGGCCTGTTTGGTTACGGGTTATCCTCCATTACTCAAGAAATATTATCTTATATTACTTAGATTATCACGTTTAATTATATTCTGATTGTTTTTTAAAATTAATTGTAATTACTGTTAGCTATATAAGTGGTAATTTGTTACTTCCATTTTCTTAGGTATTTTAAGATTATTTTATCCTTTATTAATAAATTTTTTGGATAAAAATATCATAATTTTGAAATTAATTTACATAAACCTACCATTACAATTTTACCCCTAATTAATTAAGTTTTTTGATAATAATACCCTTATATTTGAAACAAATTACATGCCACCCAGGACCATTGTCGCTAGCCAGCCACCACCGTCGACGGCCAGCGGCCATGGCTTGCAGTCACCGGAACGGTGTATGATCGATCGGTCCGACCAGATCTATGGTCATCTGGCCGTTTCTGACAGATAGATGCACCACTGGTCGAATATGGTAGGTCATGCTCCGTTCTAGAGACTGCCGGCAATGGTGGTAGTTGACCGGCAGTGGTTTGGGTTGGGTGGGTTTGATTTTGTTATAAATTAAACTTTTATATAGCTGAGTTTTTTAGCGAAATTTTCAATGTAGAGAGTTAAAAAAATGATTTAAAAAATAATAATAATAAAAATATATTAATATTTAAAAAAGATGACAATTTAATAATCCATATAATATATCCATTAATTCATCCTCCCAACCAAACATATCAATATAACATACCCACCAATTTATTCAAATCTAACCAAACACATTTTCCTAAACATTCTTTGTAACCTTAAAGGTAATTTATCTTTCAATTAATATAACATTTTTAGTAATATAATATTTCATGAACCAAACATACCCTAAAAAGAAAAATATATATACACCTTAATAATCTACCAAATTGTGACAAATATAACTTCTTGTGTAATGCTTCAGTTATTGAAGGATGCGCACTGAATTCATGCACTGAATGATGTTACACAATCTTAATCGTTGATTCATTATAAGTTAATATTAATCAACGATTATGATTTTATCATATCATTCGGCATATAATTTTTGATAATTTTTATCATTTTCCTAACTTCTCGTGGAAATGCAATGAGTTTTACTTTTAAAAGGAAGACGGTGACCATATATTAAGTTATTTTAAGTTTTTAAAATAAAATAAAATAGGTAATACTTATCTCATTCAAAAGTCTAGAGCCATTTTTTACGAACAATACATGATTAGAATGCAGAATTTTCTCCTACAAAATTTCCACGTCGTTTGGCTAGAGACAAAACTTATTGTCCGCATTACGATAAACATAACCTACTCGCATCAACGTCAAGTGAATAACACATCAAGAAGCCGACCGCCAAATCAACCGTCATACCGTATTACAACGCGAGTATGTTTTTTACAAACTCGCAAGTGTGGAAATGTTTATAATGCGATGTGAACACGAGATATTTCTTTAAGATTCCACAATCCTTTTGGATAGACCAAACACGAGGTCTCCACACGCCGTAACACGTGGCTAAATATAACCCATACACCTATACTTCCCTACAGTTCAATCCAACGGCTCTAGATAGACCCTATCCTCGCTGGAACTCTTGTAATAGGTTATTCACTCTGTATATATATCATGGCCTCCACAAGCCATATCATAGCCTCCACAAGCCTCTAATCTCATCCCCATTCTCGTGAATTCTGATTTGATCCAGATTTCAGACTCCATTACAATGTTTTCGAAACCCGTTTCAGCTTCTTCCTCTCTTGTAGCAAAGCAAGGGGATACTCTCATGTTGAGTTCTTCCTTTGTTGGTTCATGCAACTTACCATCATCATCTTCTTCTTCTAATCTGAATTTGAGGACCAGAATGAAAAGTTTCAAAGTTTCTGCTTCTGTTGAAACCAACAATATGCCACTTACAGGCGTTGTGTTTCAGCCATTTGAAGAGGTGAAGAAAGAGGTTCTTGATATTCCTGTTGCTCCTGATGTTTCACTTGCCAGGCAGAAGTTTTCCAGGGAGTGTGAAGCCGCAATAAATGAGCAAATCAAGTGGGTTGCTGTTCTCTTTTGAAATCGTTTTTGTAAAGGCTATCTTGTTTTCTCTTCCTCACCAATTGATTATTTATTCGTGTTTCTTGGCACTTTTTGCAGTGTTGAATACAATGTTTCTTATGTGTACCACGCCCTGTTTGCATATTTCGACCGAGATAATATTGCTCTCAGGGGCCTAGCTAAGTAATTATTCAAATTAACTCCGATATATTCCTTTACTTTAATTTGTCTCCATTTTTAAACTGCAACAACTGATGAATATTTTTTGTTGTATATAATCAGATTTTTCAAGGAGTCGAGTGAAGAAGAAAGAGAACATGCTGAAAAGCTGATGGAATATCAGGTTTTTTTTTTTAATTTTCTAGTTTTCTGTTCTCTTGGTTGTAAATAAAATATTTGTTTGAATAATCTTAGCTTTTCGAAATGTCTAATGTTGCTCCTGGGATTTTTTAATCAGAACCTGCGTGGAGGGAGAGTAAAGCTACACTCTATTCTGATGCCCCCCTCGGAGTTTGAGCATGCAGAGAAAGGAGATGCATTGTATGGTAAGATACAATTTTCTTAATTTAAGTATTCTATTTTCAGGTCAACATCAGGTACCCGTTTTGGAGTGAGAATAACGAGAGGTAGAATTAAAAAATTAATAAAAACATTAAAATTATAAAAACACCCTCACCTATCCATTGAATACCTGTCGGTGGATTGGATCTGGTCGGTTGTGTGTCGAGATGACCTTTTCCAATCAGATCCACTATGGATCTGTCGGAAAATGATAGATCGATGTACTATCGATTAGATCTAACTGACAGTATGTCATTATACCAGATTTAAACCACCTGTTGGCGATGGAAAATATGGGTGGATGAGGATGAGGGTATTTCTGTCAATTTCTAAATTTTTTTTTTTTTTTTTTTTTTGTGTTTAGTTATATGAACAAACTTAAGGGATTTAAAATAATTGAATAAAATAAAATATGATTTTTAAAATAGGGAAATAAATATGTATTTTGGGTAGGATAGAAATAGGATAGTGTAAAAATAATTAAACAAAACGAGCGCATATGTATTTGCTTGATATAATATTGGTCTGTCTATTAAATATTTGAATTTACTTCCTATGGTTTTTAGTTACTAAATCAATTAATGTTGAAGTTAATTTCTTTGGTTTTGTTGATTCAGCCATGGAATTAGCATTGTCTCTGGAGAAGTTAACAAATGAGAAGCTTCTGAGCCTGCACAATGTAATTCATCTTGACCCCCTTTGTTTTTTTGTAACTGAGGGTATTTTGAGCCTGCAACTGAACTTAATTGTTCATCTGTGGTCCTTCTAATGAACTGTATTCTGATGTTGATAAAAAAAATAGGTGGCAGTCTGCAACAATGATCCCCAACTGGCAGATTTTGTTGAGACTGAATATTTAGCCGAGCAGGTGAGCTTGCATTTCAGTTTCTTGTTGTGTCTAAATTCGAACCCAAAACAGCTGTTTCGGAGAGACAATTTCTGTATCATTTCAAAGATTCAAGTTTGACAGACTTAATTTGTTTGACAGGTGGAAGCCATTAATAAGATAGCGAAATTCATTGCCCAATTGAGAATGGTTGGAAAAGGCCACGGTATGAATCATATTATATCATTTACTTGTATATTAATCCGTTTTGTTCCATTGAGTTCAATAGCATTCGAACAATTTTGCAGCAAATGGAAGTACCTTCTTTTCCATGTCCACTAATCTGTCCATAATTTTCGATATTGCAGGAGTGTGGCACTTTGATCAAATGCTCCTCCGAGAGGGTGATGCTGCATGATGAATAAACAGAATGCTACATTTTGTTGGTGCCATCCTTTGCTGCAGAAATTCTGGAATGCTTCTACCTTATAATTTCAGTATGTTGAGAATAATAAACTGAAATAGTAGTATGTCAAGTTAGTACTCAATAGCCGCCTTCCTTTCTCATATTTCTAGTCAAAATTTTGAGTAGTAATGCTGATGAGAGATTGAGCTTATCCGTTGAGAGTTGTTGTGTGAGTGATGTAATAGTGTTAGCTTAGAATCAATTCATCTACTTATTGTATCAATAGTTTAAGTTAATAAAGTTTTAAGGAAGACCTTTTCAAAGAGTAGCCTTGTATTTTTTTTTTTTTCTTTTTTTCCTTTGTTTTCTGTCTATTGCCCTTGATAGAATAACTTGGAAGCATATTTGATTAAATATGCTTATGACCCACCCTGGAGTTTATTTAAAAACAACTGAAAACTCAACACAAACTATAGTCTTTATTCAGCTCCTGATATTTACATGACAATAAGGATAATAAGATTCCTGCTTTGCTATTTTCCTTCTCATAAGAGGGAAAATCTATACCAATCAAAGCTAGAAGAGAAACTAGAAAGGGTGGTTGCATCAGTTCATATAATGCCTTTAGCCACAGAACGGAAAACAGAAAGGTCTAGGCCTCTTGTTCCTTCTAGTATTACAAGAATTCTGAGGACAAGAAGAATGAATCATCGCCCACATCACTTGTATATCTTCATATTCTCGACACGATTCCATGTCCTTGTAAAGACTCAGAAGCGCAGCCCTGTTACCTGCCATAGTCGCCATAAGAAAGAACTTAGTTAACCATTAAGAGGATGAAATAAGACAAGTCACCCCATCAAAATTTTATAATCTTAAAAGGCATAATATAGTTTTACCTTTGTTCTTGTGTATAAAGCCTGAAGTAACCTTGAGAAGAATGCGCTTTGCTGGAAAGAGAAATAATTGTTTGAAGCATAGCCAGTCTCTCCACTTATTCATCTTCACATAGCTTGTCCACTCAGTTTCTTCTTTCTCTTCGTTTTATATGCACAATTTTTACTAGTCCCAGCTTGTCTTCAATCATAAAATAATGTCTCAAAGCTAAACAACAAAACGCATCCGACCTAGCACAAACCAACACTTATCAAGACAGGGGAGCCTTTTATCATCTACTCAAAATTTGGATTCTAACGTTTTCACCCTTTCAGTTTTAATGCAAAGACTCTTATGTCCTTTCAAGATGGTTTTAAGATTAATACATCATGGACTTAAGTTGAAGTTTCTAGCCTCAAAAAACATTTGCTCTGTGTATTAATGAAGCACATTTATCTAATTAACTTGTGTTAACAAGATCAAAATTCACATGGCCAAATGTGTTAAACTGGTTCAAGCTTTTAGGTGAAACATGAGTAAGAGATTAGATTATTCTGTGAAAGAACAAGGGTGGATATGTCATTTGAGAAATGGTGGGACATTCAAACTTATTCAATGAAAGATCAAAACATGAAGACTGATCAATTCAGAGAGGTTTTTAGTAGAGCAATAAGCAGTAATTGAGAAGAAATGGACAGTGAGTAGGAAGCATCCTTTTGGATTTTTTCTCTTCTCACTTAGCCCTCTTAGCAAAGATTCTCAACTCTATTATATTCAAAGAAAGTAGAAATGGGTCCCTGGTCAAACGGTTGGTTTGGTTTTTCTTTGAGTGGCTTTGTGTTTGTGTTCGTTAATCATATTATAATGGTGATTAGAATAGAGTGATAACATTGCTAATGAGGTTAATTAATTTAAGCACATGAAAAAGAATTGGTTAGAGCACACTTAGATCATTGGATTCTTTCGATATCACTTTCAATGTTGTTATTTAATCTTCTGGGTACGGCTAGTAGTAGCAAGTAATGCAACAATTTCTGGTAGTATTCAGTCTCCACTCTCCAACTGCTTCTTCATAACATATTTTTACAAACTTAAGTTCTTCCCACTAAGATTTTATTAGCTGGTTCTGTTGTGTGTTATGCAGATATTGCACTTTCAGTTCTCTGCAGTGGTTAGTTTCATTTCGTAAAATAACTATATTAGGTGGAGAAGATAAGGGAATTGATTCGAAATTACTAGAGACATGAAAAGGGAAAAATATCTAACCGCCCCTTGGTTCATTTATTTGGACCACCACAATGATCCTGATAATGATATATCACCGAATAAATCTTGTAAATTTTTTTGTTAACTGGCTCTGTCTCCTAGCTCTACAGCCATATTCAATGCTTCATTTCTTCTGTTAAAGAACTTATCATACTTGGTATTTGTTAGCTCAGAGACTGGTGAAAAGTTAACCAATGAGAACATCGGCCAGTCTATTGACATCTTCTCTGTTTATTAACCCAGCTACAAGCAACTTCACTGAATCTATTAAAAACCTCTAAATAACACACTTCTCTGTTAATTCAAGTGAAAATGGATTTGCCAAATTGAAAACCTTATCATCCATGAGTATATTTGATTTGGGAGTACATTACATCTAACTTGGCCAGTTCTAGGTTTTGTAGCCAAACAAGAGTCCAGCTGTTTGGGTAAACCTAAAAAATTGATGTTAAAGATGGTTTTATACATAATAAAAGGTTTAAAAACACAAGATTAGGCGATACTAATTCAGGGTATAACGCGTAACATCTCCCGTTTGGACCATAAAAACAATGGATTTCATCTCTGTGAACCTAAAATTTGGACTTAAAGCTGCATATATTTCCAGCCCACAGAGACAGACGGTACAGCGGATAACTCAAAAGTCATTACCAAAAATGATTTAAAAGATTCATACAAGTACTTAGATAAAAGATTAAGTCATACGAAAATAATATCCACCAAACAGTAACTAATGTAAATAAACAACAGTTCAAAATTGTGCTGATAAATAAAAACAAAGATCCATTTTTTTAGCTTCAATCCTACCTTGACTAAAGAAAACAGTAGCAGCCAGCACTCATCAAATGGTAATAACTAGAGCAGAAAATTGTATCATAGAACTTAAGCAGCAGTTTGGGCAGCCTGCCTCTTCCTAGCCTCCTCAATGATAGACAACTTGATACCCTTGCCCTTGGGAAGCGATACCCATGGCTTTGTTCCCTTACCTATGGTAAACACATTGCCAAGACGAGTTGCAAACTCATGACCGGTGGCATCTTGAACATGGATGGTCTCAAAGCTGCCCTTATGCTTCTCCCTGTTCTTGATTACACCAACACGACCTCTGTTCCTTCCTCCAGTAACCATGACAACATTCCCAACATCAAACTTGATAAAGTCTGTGATCTTTTGGGTCTCTAGGTCAAGCTTGATGGTGTCGTTAGCCTTGATGATTGGGTCAGGGTAGCGGATGGTACGTCCATCATAGGTATTAAGGTATGGGATACCTTTCTGTCCAAATTGAACAGATTTGACTTTGCAAAGCTTGAACTGCAATAACACAAGGCACACAGGAATTGCATGAGATTCTCAAGAAGTTAACATTTAACTTTTCCTGTACTGCAAAGAACATACAGCTACATACACATAGCAAGTACAGCGAATAACCAGGGTAGACCACACTAAATGCATGGTGAATCGATTGATAATCACCAGTCTACATGCTTTCATTCCGAAGATGTATAAATAAATATGAAATATTAGCAAAGCATAATCAATACACAGACATGATAAACTTACTTTAGCCTCATCATCCCTGAGGGAGTGAAGACGAAAGCGACCCTTGGTGTCATAAAGGAGTCGGAAGTTCTCATTTGTCTTGGGAATAGACACTACATCTGTTAAAGATTGAGAGAAAAAGGAAGTTAAAGTCTTTGTACTTATAACAAACAACACCACCAAGAAAAGGCCATGCAAATACTAGAAACTACAGTTCCACTATTTATCTTGAAGAGTTCTACAACAGGAATACAGAACATTCATTTTAACCAATAATATGTATCTTTAAGCTACAAAGATGAAGTGCACATACCCATGAATCCAGCAGGGTAGGTCTTATCTGTCCTAACCTTGCCATCAACAAGAACATGTCGTTGCATGAGGATAGCAATAACTTCACGGTATGTCAAAGCATACTTCAACCTGTTTCGCAGGATGAGGATCAATGGCAAGCATTCCCTGGACTTGTGGGGTCCAGATGATGGCTTGGGTGCCTGGACACCAGACAATTACAAAGACTCAACAAAAGTAGCAATATCAAGCAACACAAGAATTCAGGTAAATAAACCATAGAGTGCAAACTATACAGAAAAAAGCAAATGAATTAAGATAAGAAACATACGAATGCACCACCGAGCTTGTCAAGCATCCAATGCTTGGGGGCATTGAGCCTCTTCAAGTGTTTCTTCAATCCTCTAGCCTGTACAAGAAAAACACGAGTTTCAGCACAAAAAAAAAGTATACTATAGAAATATTGAACATCCTGCTCTATGATAGTCACATACAATAACAAAACTATTGATACATAACAAAACAGGCAGAAGGCCACATCAGAAAGGTGAAGTCGGTTTGAAATATTTCAGTTCACATTCTCATAATAATATGAGCAGATCACTACAAGAACAATGAACTATCTATCCATACCTAGCAATTATCCCAATGGAAACGGTCCACTTCTTGAAATAGCTTGTTTATTTTTTAAATTGCAAGTTTGCAAAAGAAACATAAGTGCTTCCGTGCAAACATTAGGCTAGATCCCACCATCAAAATGTTCATACTTCTCAACTAAAACTCTCCAACACTCGCAAGAACAGTAATTGAGTTTGTGTATTGTCCTTCTAAACGACATAGTTTTAAAGAATCGATGCAATTTTCCATTAAACTTAAACATAATCATATCAAATGTTCCACAGATAAGAAGCTTCACTAAGATCCCTCAAAACATACAGATTATCAAACAGCCCTAAAACCTAATCCCCAAAAACTAATCTAACATAACCAACATACAAATATCGGCGTGTTCAAAGATTTTTCATGAACATATAAACTCTCATGCGTTTCTCAAACCAATCAAAGTCACACAAACACGAATCGTTTAATGAACTGACCAACAAAAGATGAGAATGTATAAGTGAAAGCATAAGAGTTAGTCAAAGCGAAGGATTAGGCTAACCATTTTTCTGAGAAAGTTGAAGCTGCGGCCTTGCTGCGGCTGCTGGTTCTCTGGCTTTGTGTGAGGTGTGAGAAGGTGACTAAACCCTACTTTCTCTATTTATAATCTCCTGGGGGTACTTTAGGGTTTTTATTTTTATTTTAACATTAACCGGATCGGGTAGGGTTGTAATGTGGGCTTTAAACGGGTCCGTAATAGGAAATTACTGGCAGGGCCCATGATTCTTCCGCTGCCTATCAAAATTTGGTTAGGGTTTCTTAAGTCCATATTTTGTGGCACTGTCGTCTGGCTTGGGCTGTATGGCGTTTGCTTGGGTTTTGGGATCATTTCTACTTTCTTGTTGCAGATGATTTCGGCTCTATGCTTTTACACCTTTCCAAGACTTTGTCAAAGAGCGAGGATGATCTGTTTTTTTTTTTTTTTTCTCTAATAAATTTCATCATGGAATCAAGCATGAATTAATGAAACCAATTCGANCTGAATACTGATATTATGACTAGGCTGTGTCAAATTGGCATTATCGCCAAAAGTTATATTGGTTTAATATATGTAATATATTGAGTTTTCATCTACAAGCTTAAACTTTTAGGTAAGATGACAACTTAACATGGTATCAGAGCCGAAGGTTTCAAGTTCGAATCCCCACATACAAACTGGATAAAGAAAATGAAAAAAAATCCAAGTTTGACGTGAGAAGGCCTATTGGTTTAATATATGTAATATGTTAAGTGTTTACTGATAAGCTTAAGCTTTTAGGTGAGACGAGAACTTAACAAGTTATACTATTACTTGGCAACTTCTTTTGTATCCATGGATGAAAATCAAATACTTGTGTCGTTGTGATCTCGAAAGGAAACTCAAGTGATGCTGCTTGTAGCGCTTTTCTTAGATCGTTTATAGGGCAATTTATCAGTTGTTTAATTGTTGGGAAGGGGCTTTGAAATGACTTTCTATGCTGGGATTTTGATTGTTATCTTTCTTGTTGAGATCAATTTTCACAAGGGTGAATATCTCTACTGATGGAGTTTGATTTTTCATTGTTGTTTTATGTATTAATTCTGCTCATATTCAATACTGGCAACTTCTCATCTGTTGTTTGATGTATTAATATGGATTATTATGGCATGCTCCTTATCAGAGGCTTTTATTTGGGGTTTTAATAATTATAGGGTGATTTTGATAGTATTAGAGGGTTTTATATACTACTTTTCAATAATAATAAGTGTGAAAAATTAACTGATTATTTGAGGGGCTTTATGTAATAATACTGTTGATTAATATTTTTCTTGACTTTCAACATTGGCAACTTCAAATAATGTTGTGGTCCATTTCTAAATGAAAATAAATTAAATGCGTATTTATTGTTCTCATTTCTACTAATGAAGATAATATTTATTGAACAAAATAGTTCTATACATCACTGAAAATTATGTATAGAACTAGAATAATATTACATTCATAACTTTTTTCACAAACTTTTTCTCACACTCTCGACGTGATAATTTGTAATTAGTCAGCTTGCAATAAGACCCACCTAATAAATTACAGTTGATCAATTGTGGGCTGTCACGTCGGAGTTGTGAGAGAAAATTTGTGAAAAAATGTTATGGGTGTAGTATTACTCATAGAACTATTATGTTCTATAACTATTATCTTCATTATTAGACTTAAATGTAATTTTTAGTGGTCTTTGGCAATGTTTTAATAACCAACCTAGGGTGAAACCCGGTAAAGTTATCAAGTTCGAGGTTGATCGATTTGACAAGCCAGTCAAATTCGATGGTCAAAAATTTAAAATTCAGCAATTACACCCCTAAAAATTACAAGTAAGACTTTATAGGTTTTAAATTTAGCAAACACACCCCAAATACAAATCAGCGGTCGATTGGTTAGCAGCAACGACACACTAAATGCAATCTCAATCATCCACTAAGCCGTTCCCCATAAAATCTACTCAAGATCTAGCCGAAATCAATTCGATTTCGACCAAATCTTACCACTGTAGGAGTTAACAACCTAGGCCATATCTCACCACCATCGGCGTCAACAACCCTCCCTATCACCACGAAAATACTCTCCTCAGCCTCTTGACCAAAACCATTTCACACCACTCCCGTTCGCCTTGCCAATCACAGGCAAAAGTCGATTGTTGTCACCGCGAGTTTTTCTTTGATTTCTGATCGATTCACTAACCAGAAATCACCTCCGTTACCACCATTGTACTTACTAGCTATTCTTCATCAAAAGCCCTAACATCCTAACCTTTAATTGTTTTCCGATCACTGTCTCAATTTCTAGAGTTTTCAATGAATAGGAAAATTGATAACTCGACCTAATGAAGGCCTAAAATCGCGGTTGAACTGGTTCAATTGACCAGGCCGGGTTGGGCTACCTTAGTTTTTAAACATTACTCTTTTGTGTAAAAATTTTATAAGGGTAATTAATACATAATTTACAGATAGTTTATTACTCTTCTAAAATTTCAATAATATAATTTAAAACGACATAATTTCCCGAAAAAATAAAATTAAAATAATAGCGTAAAAAAATATACTTTACCACGTACAAGTATGCAACCCTCCAATGCGTGCGTGTCACATCAGTTTGCGTGTGTCTCAGGTGGTGATACCCACGCGCCACATGATTGGATAGTTGTATGAATAATACTTTGGGTACTAATGGATGGGTACTAATTTGTGTACTAACTAAAGCATAGTACCCGTACTATGCGCATAATACGGGTACTATGCTTTAGTTAGTACACAGATTAGTACCCATCCATTAGTACCCATAGCACCACTCTAGTTGTATTATCGAGTCCCTTTGTTCAAAGCTACAACGCTCACCGATCAATTACCACTAATAAGCCTATTAATAGTAGTGCGAAAAGTGCGCGGACCTAGAAATTTAGGAAGGCCCGTTTAAATTGGGCCCATGAAATAATACCTTTTCTTTCCCGCCACCACAGAGCCGCCGGTATTAAATTACTCGTAATGCGCATGCTTAATCGTTTTTTCTATTTGTTTAAGTCTGAACCGGTTCCTCTGTTCGTTAAACAAGTGTTTTGTCTTTATCTATTTTGTTTATGCTTTTTGTGTTTAGTTTATTCTCTTATTCTTCAGTGGTGTTCAGCCTTCATTATTGAACTGTCTGACCAAAGATTAACGCTGATTCGGATGCTCTTCAGCATCTTGATCTTTATTTGAATCTAAGAATCAACGGCCATCGATATTATATTCCTCTGTGAGTTTCTGGTTTTTGTTTTCTGGGTTTATTTATGTAGTCTTTTCAAGCCCTCACTTGTGTTTGTTAAAATGCTGCAGTGAATGGATTTGTTTAGCTTCCCTTGATTAAATTGAATGACTTTGCAGGAGTTGTTAGTCGTTGTTGCTATTTCTTTGATGGGTATTTTTTTGCTTCAGTCATATTAGCCTTAGTTTACACTAACTTTAATTGCATGTGTTAACTTTCACTTTTATTTTCTCAATGATCATGTAATATTTATGAGATAGATCAATCCGCATGTTACGACAGAATCAAATTGTATTCATGTGTGATATGACTCCTTTGCCTATGGCTCGTCGATGGGCTACTGGCTAGAGTTTTTGATGCGACGGAATAGGACAGACATTATATTAGTTATTGCTCTCAATGGGGTTTGGTTTCTAATCATCATTCTTTTTCTGCTCTCTATACATGTTGATGGATAGTAATTTGGTACCAATGTCAATTGATCATTAGTTTTCTCTGAAACAGGTTGCTTAGAAGATAGCAGTTAAGGGTTTTAAAATGGAAAAATATGATGATGGCGGTACTGCAAATCAGCTGTTTAGTGGTCTGAATACTTTCTTGAGAAGATGTTTGTTCCGTGTTCTTTCTGTGGGTCCTATTCCGAATCATTTTGCCTTTATCATGGATGGAAATCGAAGGTATGCTAAGAAGTGTAATCTGGAAGAAGGGGCTGGCCATAGAGCTGGGTATTCATCTCTCATGTCTTTACTCAAGTATTGCTATGAATTAGGGGTGAAATATGTGACAATCTATGCCTTTAGCATTGAAAATTTTAAAAGAAAACCTGATGAGGTTCATGACTTGATGGATCTAATGCTGGAGAAGATGCAGGCAATGCTCAAGGAAGAAAGTATTGTGAACCGGTATGGCATTAAAGTGCATTTTATAGGTAAGTTAAAACTTTTGAGTGAGCCTGTCAGGGTTGCAGCAGAGAAGGTGATGAGGGCTACTGAAAAGAACAGCAAGGTGGTGCTTTTAGTCTGTGTAGCATATACTTCAGGTGATGAGATAGTGCATGCAGTTCAAGAGTCTTGTAAGCATAAAAGGGATGAAATTGAAGCTTTGAATGAACGTAAAACTTCTAATGTCGTTCCTAATGTTGTGGAATCCTACAAAGATAGATTGGATGGATCTCAAACTCCAAAGGCAACTGGAGCTTGCAATGGTGTGATTGAAGGAATTGATGGCACTAATAAGATTAATGTTGCAATTGATTGTACTGGTGAAAAATTATGTGATGATCAAGATGAAGCTCAAGCATCGAAGGTTAGAATTGGCAATGGTTTGGTTGATGAAATTGAAGAGAGAGAGAAGATGCAAAGGCAGCATTGTGTAATAAATCTGGTAGATATCGAGAAGCACATGTACATGGCTGTAGCTCCTGATCCTGACATCCTTTTGCGAAGTTCTGGTGAGGCCCGACTGAGCAATTTCCTTCTCTGGCAAACCAGTAATTGCCTACTGTATTCTCCAGCTGCATTGTGGCCGGAGATTGGTTTGTCACACTTGGTGTGGGCAGTGCTAAACTTCCAAAGAAACCACGCATACTTAGAGAAGAAGAAAAAGCAATCATAACAATTTTTACACCGCAAAAAAGAATAATTTCTCTAATAGATTATGGCAAGGTGTGCATTGGGTGACAGTATTATTTCTCTATTTCAACTGGAAGCCTAGTACCTGTAGTGTTGGAATGCACTTCCAGAGTTACAGTGTCTTCGCACTTCATGTCCGGGCAATAAAATATTTTGGTGGCTTATTATATACTGGCATAAGCTCCTATGTAGGAATCAGGTCAGATCAAGTAATATATATGAAAATACATTTATCTGTAGATTTTAAATTATGAAGAAAAAATATAAGATAAAGCAGTTGGATTAAGCATGCCTATTTTCTCACGTAGAAGTTTGCAGTTTGTATGCTTAGAGTTCTGCTATTGTAATTATTTTTGAAAATTTATAGAATACTTTTCGAGTTCTACTCCTTTTGTATCAAAATCCAGTTTGTAATTTTGTATGCTTAGAGTTCTACTATTGCAGTTGTTTTTGAAAATTTAGAATACTTTTCTGAGTTTCACTCCTTTTGTATCAAAATGTTGTGCCACTTTACCACTAAGCTTTAAAGGTGTTGATACAAAAATCTACACCAACTAGAGAATTTTGATTGACTCTGTTGGAATTGAAATAGATGTGCGCGTGATTATAGATAACCATCAGCGGATGAATAATAAATGCAATAAAGTAAATGACGGAGAAATTTTTAAAATGGTTCGATAAATTAGAACTTGAGTCTACGTCCACTGTTATCTTATTGTTTTTGAGATCTTACAAAGAACAGTATAATTGCTAGGAAAATTTTCTTAGAACAATTGCTCAGTCCCCTTGAAAACAAGTAATGATGGGTTTAAATAGCACTTATTTACATGATAGAGTTGAGATAAGATTCAAATACGTAAGATTAGAAAGTTGCATGATCTTCGGCTACCTTAGTTGGAATCTAAGTCAATCTAAATATCTTCCTTCCAAATTGAGCCAATCTAAATATCTTTTCTCCTTCTAGGGAATTTTCCTTTCCGGATTGACCGCACAACAATAGCCCCTCAGTTTTTTGAGTGCATAATCGCGCTTCAAAAACTCATGTCTTTGATCTGGATGGTTGTCGCACTATAGGTTGCAGTCTCAAACTGAAGAACTTGAATTATGCTTGCTGCGATCTAGGAGATCTAAGAGATCTTGAACATGTGATCTCAAGCGAATGAGTGAGCTTATGAGATTAATCAGAGAGCATAAAGAGCTTGATATGAGAGCATAGGGAGCTCGATCAGAGAGCATAAGGAGCTCGATCTGAGAGTGTAAGGAGGTCGATTAGAAAACACAGAGAGCTTGATCTGAGAGTATAGCTCGATCAAAAAGTATTGAGAGCTTAATTTGAGAGCATAGCTCGATCAGAAAGCATGGAGAACTTGATCTGAGAGCATAGCTTGATCAGAAAACATGGAGAACTTAATCTGAGAGCATAACTCGATTAGAAAGCATAACTCAATCAGAAATCATAGAGTGTTTGATCTGAGATCATTGCTCGATCAGAAAGCATGGAGGGCTTGATCTGAGAGCATAGCTCGATCAGAAAGCATGAAGAGCTTGATCTGAGAGCATTGCTCGATCAGAAAGCTTGGAGAGCTTGATCTGAGAGCATAGCTCGATCAGAAAGCATGGAGAGCTTGATCTGAGAGCATAGCTCGATCAGAAAGCATGGAGAACTTGATCTGAGAACATAGCTCGATCAGAAAGCATGAAGAGCTTGATCTGAGAGCATTGCTCGATCAGAAAGCTTGGAGAGCTTGATCTGAGAGCATAGCTCGATCAAAAAGCATGGAGAGCTTGATCTGATCGAGCAAAGAGCATTGCTCGATCAGAAAGTATGGAGAGCTTGATCTGAGAGTATTGTTCAATCAGAAAGCATGGAGAGCTTGATTTGGAGCATGGTTCGATCAAAAAGCATGTAGAGCTTGATCTGAGGGCATTGCTCGATTAGAAAGCACAGAGAGCTTGATCTGAGAGCATGGCTCGATCCAAAAGCTTGGAAAGCTTGATCTGAGAGCATGACTCGATAAAAAGGCATGGAGAGCTTAATCTGAGAGCATTGCTCAATCAGAAAGTATTAAAAGCTTGATCTGAGAGCATTGCTCAATCAGAAAGCTTGGAGAGCTTGATCTGAAAGCATGGCTCAACCAGAAAGCATGGAGAGCTTGATTGGAGAGCATGGCTTGATTAGAAAACATGGAAAGCTTGATCTGAGAGCATGACTCGATCAGAAAGCATGAAGAGCTTGATCTGAAAGCATTGCTCGATCAGAAAGCATGGAGAGTTTGATCTGAGAGCATGGCTCGATAAGAAAGCATGGAGAGCTTGATCTGAGAGCATGACTCGATCAGAAAGCCTGNTGCTTGTTAGGACAAAATGGAAGGAGCACCATTTTGAATTATACATTATAAAGGTCAACTTTAGGTGCACAATTTGGTTTCATTTCTTAGAAGCATTTAATAGACTGGTGGAAGGGTCAATATCTTTATTATTACACAATCCACCCAAATGAGATTGCCAGCTATTCAGTCTATGGTAGAATTAGTTTTCTCATTTTATATTATTTTGGTTAACCCAAATGAACTGGGTTGTCCATTGTCACAGATCTTATATTAGAAGCACATTGAAAAGATCTTGGACTTATAAGGGGGGAGTTCTTCCATCTAATGAGTTAGCCTTTTGTATGTAAAACTTTCAATCTGTGGCAATGGTATCAAAACAGACCCAATCTCCATGTGTGATAATGGATTCACTCGAGAGTGAGATAGACGAATAGGTAAGGGGCCTCACTAGCATCACAAGATTACGTAGAGGAGAATGTCATTATCCCACATTGAAAGTGCATTGGAGAGATCTTGGACTTATAAGGAGAGAGTCCATTCAATTAATTAATTAGTCTTTTGGGTGTGAAACTTATAACCCATGACACCATGTGAAGCTTTATTTAACCATTTCCAGTCTACATTTAAGTAAATAATAGCACATTCCCACTTAATATACTGATATTTTCATATGATATAGTTGATATCTTTAATATTTTGTGTCAAATTACAGATCTTATCTCAACTTCAAGTTGTGGGTTCTCAATTTATCTATCAAAATAGTTCCTTAATGTTGGCATTTAACATTCTCAAGTCAACCCAGTTGCAATTAAGAAATTAATTAAATTGACCATTATTCCACGGATCCAATGTCAGCCTTATTGAATATAGAATGTTAGAATGTATATTCAAATCAATAAAGATACAAGAGGATCTTTATTGATTTCCTTAGATTTGAAGTGATTCTAACCATGTGGGAAATGTAGGAAAATAGAAAGAGATTTCAGAGAATATTGAAAGGATCTTATGTTCCTACACTTTCTAATCTATTTCAATACCCTACAAAAGAGTTGTATAACATTTTCAAGTTAACCCTCTACAAGTTTTACTTCTAAAACAGGAAGGATGAATGAAATAGAGACAACAACAGAAACAAAATATAATAGTAGAACAAAATATAATAGTAAAACAAAACAAACAGTAAACAAAGAAAAAATAATACGTGCGATTTACCCTGGTTCACCTAATGTGGGTTACGTCCAGCTGAGTCAATATTATTGCAATATACCTCACCTCTCTCGTTTACAATGAATGAATTGCTCTCACACACATAACAAGAGAAAAGAATGTTTATATATTAGGTTTAAGAGATTAAACCTAGTTTTACAAGGATTCTTATTCCTAAGCCCAACCCAAAAAAGGAATTAGTAACTTAAAAGAAATCTTACAGCGGTTATACATGGAAAAGCCCAAAACCGCTTACGGGCTCAGGGGTGCTGCCCCCGCAACCCCCGCCCGCTCACCGGGGAGCAGGGCACCCGTCCGCTGACCGATCAGCTGGACCCCCGAGTGCATCTCCGTTACTCATTAATACTGAAGTAGTCGACAACTCCAATAATGGGGAAGCTTCCGTGGTGCTGATAAGTAAGGAGAAAATCTTCCACGAGAAAGCTCAAACGAGGCCTCTGACTACTGCAAATGTAAACCCAGAAAGAATTGACATTGATGTACTGAGTTTGAAGTTGCCGTGCAACTGCTTAACTTAGGGTCAGAGTCGGCAACATTTTGCACTTGCTAATCACGTTTCCATCGAACCTGTAAAGGAGCCACGGTTGTTTGACTTTCTTCAATTTAGTAGACCCCATCTCCTTCTCTCCTGCATTAAACTATACAAAGAAAATTATTTATTCGTTTAATGGCAGGTAACCATCATCAACTAGCGGCAATCCAGCTTAATCTGAATGCTGTTGACAAAAAATGGAACCATGAACAAAATAAAACTAATGGGTCCATATTAGGTTGATAAAAATTCCTTTCACGAATTACAAACGTCGTGTTTGTTTTAAGTTTCACAAAAAGAGGTCTTCAATTTTTAACAGTTTGTTTTGGTTTTCGTCAGAAATAAAGCTTAGAAATTGTTATATGTGTGTCATTATGACGGAGTAAATAAATAATGGATTAGTGAAGAGTATTCAAAGGCTCTATGCTTAATGTTCACAAGGGACAAGGACACATTAAAAGCTCCGAGAAGACCACGGCAGTTGATGATACAGGAAAATCGTTGGTCTTTAACACCGCAAAAAGGTGAGTTGTTAACCATTTTTGGTAATAAAAAATTAAAATTGGCCAAGAGAACCACAAGACAGGACAAATTATGAACAGGAAAGTGGGACAGGTAAACTCAAGGAAATTAAGTGTCTAAACAAGAAAGTACTGTAGTCTTATTGTCAAAAAGATAGGCTTTAAAACCCCTTTCCAGTTTTATACTTTCATCTTAGCCATCCTCTGCTCTTTGGCTGATCTTTCCAAGCTTTGACATCAACCGTATATTACGCCTCAACACAACACAACACACAAAATTTCTCTCTAAATTATGCGCTTTTGTTCTTCCAAATATGTTTAAAAAGCAGCTCTAGTTTGACATGGGTAATTGCTGGGGATCTTTTCCAAAGAGGCTAATCCTATACTAGTAAACACCTCATCAACAATCCTCAAACCCAGGTTGTGATTTATTGATTGATACTCTTAACAGTAGAGTTTTGTTTCGTTAACAGAAATTGGGTTCGAGTTTTTATGTATCTTTGAGGAATGGTTTATAACTCAGTCTGTTGAATTCGGTTAGGTCTGTTCAAATTATTATAGCCCACTACAGAGATATCA